ACACACACACACACACACACACACACACACACACACACACACACACAAGTATTCACCCCCAACAGATCTGGTGCCTTATGTTCTCTTCCCTCTTTTCTGAGGACAACATGTCGTCCTCCTCTCAGGTTACTGAACGTTCTGTCTGTGGTGGGAGGCCATTGCAACAAACCCAATGACCCTTCAGCAGTCAGTGCAGTTGACGGGCCAGATGTGGAGCTATATGGGCCTGTGCTTTGTCAGAGTCAAGCAGGCTCCGGCAGGAGCAGGACGCTGTGCTATGAAAACCCTGTCAATGTACAGCACGCTGATCTGGAGCCAAACCACATTAGGACACATCCTGTTGTTGAGAACACATACCACGGTGTCTGCTGAAGACGTGGTGAGCGGAGATTTGTGTAACTGCATTCATGGCAAATACTTGCACGTGCTTTCATTGCTATATCATCAATTGAGCTAATATACACTTGAAGCAAGACTTTTTTTTTTAAAGATAATGGAACACACTTTTTCTATCTCTCTTGCAGATTAATTAAAAGTTAAATTCAGAAGAAATAAAACACACGCTTGCTCAAATTTCTATACCCAGTATTTTACTGCTGGAGCCTAACTTGGTCTGGTATGACCCACAGCAAGAGAATGCTGTGTAACTGATGTTAGCGAGTCCATTCACTGACTTCATGGCTCTTCTCTCCTTGTACTACTGTTACAGTACACAGATATGCTTCAAACTGAGTTGTAGGTTTACCATTGTGGGACATGCCTACAGAGAGGCACTTGTGGAATCGGCAGTACTGGCACTTGTTGCGGTTCTTCTTTTGGATTTTGCAGTTGCGTTCACACTTATCATACTCCAGCTTCAGCCTGATGGTCCTCCTGAAGAAACCCTGGTAGACACAGAACGACGCATGCTGTCATTTGAAGATCATACGATCAGGTTACATACTCTTGTAGTACTTCAGCCCATAAGGAGGTTAACCCTCCGGATGCGTCTCAGGTCTGTACACTCCGTTATGCCTTCCAGGTCAGAAATGACCCACCCATTTGCTATATTTAAAGAGCGATACTGGGATACAGAGCAGTGGGCCAACACATGCTGAAAGATGTCAAACTGAAACATATGATCCTTTCACGCACCTATGTGCATCACTGAAATTTCAGTCAGAGCATTCCTCATCCCTCACTGTCGAAAAGCCAACATAGATTCTCTGGCAATATATCTGGAGCCACACGGTCACGCTATACGTCGGCCATCATACAGAAGGGCTTGTCTGCCTTTATGTTGAAGACACGTTGTTATTGAGGGTTATTATGTGTCTCACATCACTCTTTGTGGTGTTTCAAACCATTTGTGGGGAGAACTGGATGTATTCATCATGGAAACACAGAGGGGAGAAATGTGAAGGGTCCAGGCATATGATAGTCATCAAAAATACATTACAAAACAACAGAACTCCCTATGAGGAGAAAACAGATGTGTGCAGCGTGCATGTCTTTGCTTGTCTGTGTATGGGTGTACAGACAGTGACACGACCAGTACTTTAACTATAGATGTAAGACAAGTTTTAATTCAGGCATCTTGGTGGCGGACTAATTGAAACTAACTTCCATCTATTGGGCAGGTAGAGGTGTTGTGATTAACCTTTCCTATTACTGAAGGCTTTCTACGACCGCCCTGCTCCTCCAGACGTCCCGTACAAACGATACACCGACCATTGCTTCAGATTGAACCTCTCGCACCATAGCATGACAGCACATTCTATTCACATTCCCACGACTGGGAAGCTCCTCTCTTAAAGCGAGGTGTTGAAAGTGATACGCGGGGCGCGTCGAGCGCGCACTGCGACTGCTACATATCGCAAAGCCAGATCTTTCCATGACGGCACAATATCATCAGTCAGAGCATTTTAGTGAGTGTCAAAATACTCCCCTCACATGTGCAGCGTCCAACAGTGTCAGTGTCCCTACTTCAGAGTGGCAGCGGCCTGACTCAGGGGCCGACAAGATCAAGAGTAGCTTGTGTTGATTCTGATGAATGACATGTGGGTCATAACACTTTAACCTTGCAGGGAGATGGCTTGTTTTGCAGCACATGTGCATTGTGCAACTGACAGAATTGACGGAAAAGTGTCTCCAATGGATTAGAGTGAAACTGAAGGCACAGTGCCTGTCCAGAGGAGTGAAAGAACAGATTCTCTCCAGCAGGGCAAAAGGGGTGATTATGTAAGAAACAGAAAGAGGAGAACACCAGTAGCAACTCTGTCTAACCTCAAAGGAAGGAGTGGTACCACAACATTGTCAGCTGTGGCTGATGGGAGAAACCTTTAAAAGCAGGCACAGGTTAAAAAGTCATGCATGAATAGCAAACAAAGGCTCAGATTAGCAGCAGCAACCTGCGGTCGGCTCAGAGAAGTACGAGACTACGACGAGCTCACATGACTTGGCAGTGTTGATCCTTAATGCTTTTAACACACCCAGTGGTCTCAGTTACAAGTCCTCTAGTTCTGTCTGTCCTGGGGAGCTGAACTGTTTCAGGCCTGATGGATACCTTTATTATGATTAAACATTTGTATGCAAACCAAATTCCTCTTATCAATAAATCCCAAAGATGACTCTGTATGAAGGTCACATTTAGTAATAAGCACAGCAGGGCTCTGCGCCAGCAACAGCTCCATGTGTGTACTGGTGCTTGTGTGTGTGTGTGTTAACGTCACTCAGTCAGGCTCGGTGCCAAGCAGCGGAGAGGTAGACAAGTTGAGCAAGGCCACCACGTCCCCCACCTCACATGACCTGGCTGTGTGTCTCAGAAACTTTCCACTGGCCTCCAGGTCAGGCGCCTCCGCATGCCGAGCTTGTTTTGGGTGTGCGTGCGTTGGCGCAGGCATGTAATGTGCACGTGTACACAAATACACACATTTGCCTTTGCAGCACATGTTATCACCCGTCTGATTGTGTCTGTCTGTATGTTTACCTCCATATTTTTGTGTGACCTCTATGTCCTTTCTCACTTTGATGTCTAAAGTATGTCAGTACATACATACCATATGTGCTCTGACTGGCTGCGCTGGGCCTGTTTTAGTCCCACGTCTCTCACCTTGCAGCCCTCACAGGCGTGCACCCCGTAGTGGAAGCCCGAGGCCTTGTCTGAGCACACTCGGCACTCCAGGTTGAGGGTGCTGGCGCTCTCCTCTGGACTCGGCGCTGCCGCACACACCCCCGACGACGGACTGGAGGCTGGGGTCAAGGTGTCTACAGCAAGACAACAGAGCAGAAAGGAGGCAACAGCGAGTGATGTCACTGGGCTAACCTTTGATACCACACATTCTGTATGTTTCAGGAGGACTCACAACAAAGCAACAGTCAGCAGCCAGTTAGCTTAGCTTAACAGAATCTAATGTTTTTGAGCTAACTGTTTTGTACGGATTTAACAGACTAATTGGTGATCTTTAGGTTTAGGTGTTCAGGCTAGCTTTTCCCAGTCTTTAAGCTAAGCTAACCAGCTGCTGGCTGTAGGGTTAGTTTCATACTTATACTTATAGGGCTATAAAAATAACTATTTTCTTTATGTTACAAACATCTGTAATACCAAGAAAACATACTGAACAACCAGTCACAACAAAGGGAAACAAACCCCTGATCTATTGTTGCATACAGCATTATAATGGGGATTTAAACCAATCAGAACAATAGTGATATTGGACTCTTAACAGCCAAATTAACCATCTCAATGATGGCGAAAACCAGATATCTGTTCAATAGATCAGGATGAATTCATCTTTTTCCCTTGATGGAAAATGAGTATTCCTGTTAAACAGGCCTCATGAGAATATTAGGTAATTCGTAATGAGGCTTTTTTAGTTTGTGTCTTTGTCTTTGTGTTTTTTTCAAGTGCTGGTCAGGAATTTGGAGACAACATCATCAATTGGGAGACACAGAAATTAATTGTATCTAATCTTCTGTAGTCAGACAGGCAGTCTCTTACAAAAGGCCGCGTTAGGCTCAATGAAGCCAAAGGCTCAAAAGGTCAGTGTTGTAACTATTTGACGTGACTGATCATGTACCCAGCGACCATTTCTTCCACCCATGAGGCCACTTGACTACTCACCCAGTGCAATGGAGCTCTCGGACCCTGAGCTGGTGCTCTGGTACAGCGGGAAATCAAATCCCAGAGTGTCGTCTCCTATAGACTGGGAGATGTCCCGAAGATCCTCCATCAGGTCTCCACACAGCGGACTGTCGAGCAGGGAATCCCCGAGTGGGGATGGGGGGCTAAAGAGATCCCTGGCCATGGTGGAGGTCAAGCCAAACCTGGGAGGAACAAGCCCTCACTCACCAGACTGTGATAAGAGGGGAGAGAGAATACAAATGAGGACAATGAGTGATAAAGAAACTGAAATCCTGAGGCAGCCATTTGATTGGTTGAGAGCCCAGTTCTGGAAAAACCTCCGACCCCTTAGATTGGGTGCAAACTCCTAAAGGGATTTTTTTGCTTTTGGAAAATGATTCAATATGTCCGCTCCGACACAGTCGGGAGCTTTTCCGTGAACAAGCCATGTAACTTAAAAATACTTAACTCAAAACTCCTAATACTTCTGCATTTCTATGTGTGATGGCCTGAAGTTCTCTAACACACGTTTAAAGATGTCAGCACCAGCAGTAAGTGCATCACAAGATTTACCTTATCGTTTTATTCCCTGGTGCTTGGACCTGGTTTATTCTCTTTCAGATAAAACATCACAAACATGAATAAATCTAAGTTAAATGTCATGAAAGCACAAATGAAGATCAGTCATGCAGTGGGGACAGGTACAACTCTTGTGCCACTAATGCTAGAGGTAAGTTCATAATGTGACGGTGCTTTTTTTAATAAGTGAACCTTGCCCGTAGAGTCAGCAGCGGCCCATTATTCACAGATTAAATTCCAGCCAAAGTACACAGTGTGCAGTTTGTTACAAAGCTCTGTATCTTATTTATTGACCGACTCTGATGCTCCAAAGAGACAAAGAGTACATACCGTGCTTTAAGTGACTTTCTCTCTGTTACGTTACGTTCAACAAAGAACTCAGTGTCCGGCTATTCCTCTGGCTGCCCGTCCGCTCGGAGTGGATCTTAAAAAGTATGTGTGGGAGGGACTTTGGTGGAGCTCTCAGCTGCTCACAGTGGGGTAAAGGACATCTGTTAGAGCCATCCCACAACATCACAGCACCAGTGCTCATGTTCAATAACGCTTCCCCCAACTTCCAGTAATTCATCGCGGCAGATGTTGCCGTTGTTGTTCTATAGATTATAGACTAGGATTTAACACATTATGCTGTAAAACTTCCCTGTATTAGTAATAATGTGATCACAAGCAAATTGTAGGTTAAAGGCAGACTAACAGGAATCTGCTTTTTAAAAGAAGAGGGGAATTCTCTCCGCCTGATCTCTGCTCCTGTATTATTACAATAACATTTGATGTGTGTCAGAATTCTAACAACGTTATACCATCAAGGCAGGAATCAGCAACTTTATCTCTGATCTAATCTACAGAGAGATTTGGCTGTGGGGCCTTCACAGACCTCATGTGAGCTCAAATGTAAAATCGCAGTTTACACAGCTGCTTACATCTGTAAGCCCAGCATGGAAAAAACACTGGTGACATGAGATTGTGCAACTTCAAACTTTCGCTGTTGAGAACCACCGACTTTAAGTGGGTTGGTTATACGCTGTCTTCATCTGTGCATACAGGCCAGACAGAGAGGACGTGATAAATCAGAGCATGTTTGTTCTTGTTTATCTAGTCTTAGGGTTGCAGCGTTTCAGAGGACAGGTCTGGACAGCATTCCAAAGTCGTTTAGGCCTAAGTGGGAAATCTGTGAGAGTGTAAAAAGCCTCATAGCTAAAGTATGTTGTACCATGTAGACTTCACTGTAGAGGCCGTACAGACTGAAGCAGCTAACTGATGTCTGACTGGTCTGTCGAGCTGCTTTGCAATAAAAATAAAATAAAATCGTCATCAAGGGGCGGATTGTGCAAATGCGTTTTCTCTTGCAGCACAATAACTACATTTATACTTCAGTGCATTGAGTTCATCTTAAAATGAACCCATTGTGTCCCCCTGCATCTCTAGCCATGGATGTCTCTTTACTAGGAATTTTAAAATGAGATGTTTTGAGAGTGCATGACCATAAGCCTACACTTATGCAGAAAAAATAAGTAGGTCTGAAATGTATTCAGCCATTAAATGACAACCAGCAGTAACTTAAAAGTCAATTCTATAACTGACTGGTAGCCAGTGCAGAGAAACTGAGCATTGGTGTAATGTGTTCAGGTTTCTTAAGTCTTGAGATGGTCTAGTCCTGAGAAAAGACCATTACACCACAGTCTAACGTACTTGAGATGAACACATGAATTAGTTTGCCAAAATGAAATTCTCGATCTGAATCAATATTAAGATTTCTGCTAGGCCTCTCAGATATGGAGCCATATTCCCCGTCTCGTAGGGCTCTAGGACCGTGCGTGAAAGACCAGCCCAGTTGTTTTTAGTCCAGCAAGCAATATTTTATGATCAGCTGTTTTGAACGAAGCAGCAGAGTTCCAATAGCATAGAAATTACGTCTCACTAGAGTGTGTTTAATCGGAGGTCAATAAGAACTTTAAGAGCAGTCTCAGTGCTGTGATGGGGTCGAGATCCAGCCTGGAAGTCATCTAGACCAGCGGTTCTCCACCGTATTCACGTCAAGGACCACTAACACATGAGGTCACAGACCCCCATTTGGTACGATTTCTCTTCAGGGACCTCGTCTGAAAAGATTTTGGTCGTTAGATATGATGAAGACCAGAATTCTATTGTCATCAGCTACAGTTAAGAGAGATAACCATGAGTGCAAAACGAAAGTGAGTGCATAGTTATTTTTAGTTGATGATGTCTGAGTAAAAAGGATTGTCTTGCCTGGTCTCTTTTTGTAGACGTAAAGGTGAGTCTGGAGTTTAAAGTGTTTTTTTCCATTCACGCTCAGCTTTTCTGCACTCTCTTCTGTGGATTCTCACAGCTGCAGCATTTCTCCATGCCAGGAATTCACGACCTACGAGATCATCGGCAGATTTTGAGGAGTGAGTCGGCAACAAAGAGATGGCTTCTATTAAAACTGCAATAGAATTCTCCTCGACATTGATTGATACCGTTTTCTGACAGTGCCTGATCTTACACGGAGCAAAGTAATGTACTGCTGACAGCAGCAAAACATACTTTAGACACCTAAAAAAAAAAAGAGGCCCACCTAAAACAGTAATTTTCCCTCGCATAATGCAGGTGTCGTCGGTCCGTTTGTATTATTGTGTGAATTTGGTTATTTCAGATTCACCAAAGTCAAACAATAACACAAACTAACTCACCGACCGAGGCATCAGTAGACCAGCAACTCCCGTCTTCTGTGAGGTAAAATTACCGTTTTGTCCAAACGGTATCCAAAGAGAGCCATGTCCAGGAGAGGAATATGAAATTTAAGTTATTTATTAGTAATGACTAATACGATAGTGATGTGCGTGGAGATAGTGGACTGTTGGAGAACAGGTATTAGGTTATTATGTTTAATAATGTACTTACAGAACGTGTTGAGCACTGACAGTTGCACAGATCCAAACCGAAAAGGAATGGGATAAACTGTAGGGTGAGAGGGTCCTGGCTCCACATGAGGAACCAGTCACACTGGTGCTAGGACCCCGGGGACGTCAACAGCCCAGACCTGCACCTGCACCCAGAGCTGCAACCAAAGTCCAATAATCAATTTGTGTTTTGGAAGAAAATGAATCCTGCAACTATGTGGAGGCTCATTTGAAAACGTTTCCAGCAACAATGCCAAACATTTTATGGTTCCAGGTTTTTAAAGGTGAGAATTGTTTAGAGTAAATTGAATATTTGGGTCATTGTTGCACAGTTTTTATGATGTTTTTCAGATGTTTTTAATGGCATAAATCTAGAAAATAATCTGCAGGTTAATCCCTTATGAAAATAGTTATTAATTGAATGCCGAAAGCTGCACTGACGCAAGTTCTGTTCCCTCTGTTTCCCTTTCATTATTGAATTCAATAAGTGGATACCTTGATGCCGACAGCTTTCTAATGAACACACCTGGTCTGTATAATTTGAGCCTTTTTCATTCATGTACTATAGCCTTGCTTAAAACTAGGTTGACGACTAACTCCTAAACTGTGTTGATATGACTTCATTGGCTCTTTCGTAGATGACTCTGGACCAGCCCATGTTTCCCCATCACATCAAAGAACATTGTGTTTTAACTCCCAGAGGAACTATAATCCCAGACAGCGAGGCTCTATCTTTAGGTCACAGGAGAAGAGGAAACAGTAACTGCACTGAGAGCAGTCAGCTGAACTCAACAACAGCTTGTTAACAGATAACAGCGAGGATACAATCAAGAGAAAAGAAAGAAAACGTACACCCCCAATCCCCCCGTCAGAAGCCCCGAATCAGGATCAGATGTTTTGACCTTTCTAAGACCTTCTTAAGTCTCTGCAACAACAAGGTCATCCATGTGCCTCACCTACCAACAAATCTGCAGCAGAGTAGACCCAAAACAAACATCTTGATTAAAACAAGTTGTGCCTTACAGAAGGGTCGTGTTGACTTGTCACTATGCTGCACAGATAAGGAAATGGAAATCAGTTTGAAGATGGAATTCATGGCCAACAGAAAGATATGTTCCTCTCAGAAAGAAGCATTTCTTCACACCATGTGTGGGGGTGTGTGTGGTTTTATTACAAAAGCAGGTGCGGGCTCCAGCGGACAGGAAGTCCATGTGGGGCTCATTCGCCACACATACTGAGAACAATTACATGCTTTCTTCTTCATGCAGGTATAGGAGCGAGAAGCCTACAGCTATTATATAACAGTAGGCTATATAGTCTTTTGAGAAATCCACTCATGCAGCATTACTTTCTGCTCAGGCGTCATACAACTGTAACCCCACGCCGGACCCTGAACGATAAAAGTTTGTTAATTCTCCTCAGACAACAGGAAAGTAAGCTTATAGTCACACTTACATAACATAGCAGAGCTTCAAGTGAAGGTTGTGAATTACCTCAGAGGATGCTATCCGGAGCATTTCCAGATGCTGCTGACGGCATGGACGCCCCTCGGTCCCGGGACGCTCCGACGCTCAGATCCCCGATCAGCTCTGAAGGTAAAACTTGATGCGTCGCGTCCCGGCGCGCGGTCAAACTTCCGCTCATTCTCTCTGCAGGAAATAACGTAGGGACGGACGGAGACGCGGGACGCACACCCCCCTGACACACCTATGGTTTCCACCAATGGGCACGGGGGGGGGATTTAAAAACGGGACCACCCATCTCTGGGTCTTTTTTTTTTTTATCAGGCTGCAACTACTTCCCGGTGGCTCGGGACGTCACCGGACGACGGTGCATGTGAACCGGGGGACCGTGACGTGGCCACTCCTCCGTTGTCTCATGTGTCGATAGAGCACAGCTCTCTGGCGTGATTGTCTCTGTCTCAGAGCAGCACGTCTCCTACATCATTTACAGTGGAGCCACTGTTAATCACCGCCATCATATATTACGGGATACTGATTACACAAATGCTCAATAAGATGGTCGTTTTTCACAATAACATGTCAAACAACATTGAATAACATACATTATGTAAGTACGTTTTGTATGTGGTTCAGTACCCCATAGATGTGTTGAACATACTTTATATAGTGGTGAAATAGTCACTCAAGTCCTGCTTATTGTAATTTTTTCTTTACTTCTACTTAACTATTAAACTATTGTACGTTTTACTCCACTACAATAATTGTATCCAACAGCTTTATTTTCTAGTTACTTTACGGATTAAGATTGAACTCACAACCCAGAGCTGATAACATGTGACACACTGTTAAAAGTGCAAGTAATGTTACACATGAATGCATCTGTAATAACACAATATCATAGTTCAACACTGACAAGAGCCATTTTTCTGAATCATGAGTACGTGTAAGTTTAATAATTTAAGAAATATTTCAACACTGGGATTTTACTTGCAATGGAGTATTCTTATATTGCAGTGCTTATCTTCCACCACTGCATACACAATAGAATACAGTATATAAATAACAAAGAAACTGCTATAAACGTGAAAAAATCTTTTGCAGGTATTCAAAATCTGCCTATTGTAATATCTAGCGCCATCTACTGTGTATGGGTGCTCAGCAATGTTTTAACGTCTCCATCCTGAGGTGAGAGACGGTCTGGGGGTGTTTAGCCGTCACCTTTTCCTGTTGAAAAGCTGGACAACCAAAGCCTTCGGAGGACGCTCGGTGTGTTTTCACACAGAGAGACGAGTGGGAGGGTGACTGTTTATGATTCCTTGCGGGGACCTCAGCACCTGGTCTCTTGTTCCATCTGTGAGTGTCTTCCACACTCTGAAGCTTGATTAAGTGAAATACACAGTGTGAACCACACATCAGCTTTTGAAGAAGTCTGGGATGCAACTTGAAAATTCAAAACCTAGACTACACTCTGTATGTTACATGATGCTGAACATGTGTCAAATAAAATGGACTCTCTCTTTTTCGGATACTTTGGTTTTTAAATCTTGGCTCCAATTTTTTTTGTGGAAATAGATATTAAAAAAAAAAAAAAATAGAAACATGAAAATATTCTCCTTTGGTCCAGTAAATGAACTTATTTCATAACAAATTACAAGAAGAAAAAAAAAGACAAATACTAACTTGAGAACATTCTTCTGAATAGATACAGAACATCCACATGTTAAAGCCTGAGTTACCGAGCCTTTTAAAATAAAATATACAATAAGATCATTACAAGCATTACAGAATAATGCAATATTTCATGAAACTATTCCAATAATAACTAGATATTTACAACTCCACCTCGGTACTCGGTATACATTGAAAGGATCACACTCTAGTCATTGTTTGTTCTTATAGTATTTCTAATCCAGTCTTTATTTATGTTTATTAATCAAACAGTACATAATTAAAACATGCATGATGCTATCTACATTAATTGCAAATCTGTTAAGTAACGACTGTTATTGAGATTTGCCACCACTCACCCGTTTGAAATCGAATGCCAGATGAGTTTCTTCCTCAGTAGGAAGGAGACTAAGTCGTGTGCGCTCCTGTGATGTATTGCTGCCCTCCAGGGAAGGCAGTATGTTGTATAGTTAGCTCCTGATGGGGTAAAATAACAACCCTGAAACCACACAACCTACTACCTCACCCTGTACGAACACCATACAGGTTTGTGCACATCTCGTCACTGGGCACATGAAGACGGATCCACCGTGTTGCTATTGTGTGACTACAGCAAGGTTAGCTGTGATAACATCAGAGATAAAATCAAACACATCACTCAACTATCAGCTAATGGAGGAGTTGTGTTGAAGCATTTGCAACAGCTCTGTTTGAAATTCCAATAACAGTTTATATTTCAGACATAGACTCCAAATAATGTCAGGTAATCAAAACAGACAGTCGACAGGCTGAATGCACAGTAAAAGAAAGAAGGAAAATCTTCTTAATATTATGTTCAGCACCAACATTATCTACCCCTGAACTAAAACTTGAAGAGTATCTCTTACAATGCTCTCATATTTATCTGCTTCTCTTCTCTAACATTTTATTTTTATATAAACATGATCTGCAGTGGTGAAGCTGTATTTTTCTCCACGCCGATGTCGATGATGACGTCGCCTTCACAGTCGCTTCAGGAAAGACAGTAAGTTGTATAGTCATCTGACAGCTTGGGAATGACCCTAAAACTATACAACCTACTACCTCACCCCAAAGGACAGTTTATCTCCTGCAGGAGTCTCTCACGTCACACGGTTGATGGTCGATCTGAGGGAACACAGACTCAGAGCGACAAAGGGCCCTTCTAGAGTTAATCTAATAAAAATACCTTCTCTCCTTTTGAGGGTTGAAACGCGAAACACATATCTGCTGATGAAGACGCTGAGTTGCAGTTGTAAACTCAGAAAAAGCTAAAAAAAAGATTTGAGATTATTTTATAAAGAACAAAATGTGTCATTACTGTATTATTGTATTTTGTATATTTTGTCAGTCGATATTTTATTCATTTTAAACACACTTGGTCTCAGGAGTGTTAATAACTTTCACACTAACTGAAGAAATAATTTAAAAAACATTTTTTTATTAAAATAAAAGTCCCCCAATTCATAAAGACAAATCTATATCCAAGTGATTTTGTCAGGATGTGACGTGTCCCTGCCAGCATGAACATAAGGATTCATTTAACTGCAGCAATATATTTTAATGTACAACTTTTGATAATTTTTCAGTTATATTTTATTGTACAATCTATATACAAAATCATCATCTAAAATTGTTTTGATGTAAGTAGGGTTCCCTGTATTAAAGCAATTGATATATTCATTGTTGATGTGTTTTCATTCTTTTTTAAATTAACTTGTGTTGCTTTGTATATTTAAAGGAAATCCAATTTGGTGTGAGAGCAGAGCAGAGTGCATCTAACTGTACGTCATAAACATGTCTGCATGCCTAAATTGTTGCAAATCAAAGGATGCTGTCAGAATACTTCCTGGATGTCACTTATGCCTGACAGGTCGCCTCCTCTACGCAGCTTGTCTCATTGGTCTGTCGGATGTCCTCCTCTCGGGTTTCCTCGGCCTGATGGAGACAAATGAGAGGAGAGAGTGAGCCGCTGCAGGGCGTCGAAAGGTCACACTTTCACCTCTTGTCCTACACATGAGAATCCCGTTACGACTGTGCACGTGAACCTGCGCGGTCCCGCATGTAAAACACACGACAGACAAGGAAATCGGTATCTCTGCCAATTTGAGTGTTTGTGTGTAACGACTTGCACGTCTCTCTGTATTATCTACGACGACACACAGTGGATACACTACACCGTGAGCTTAAAACCAGTCAGATAAATCCTCTGAATGATCCATCATGCTTCCTCTCTAGCAAAGGTGTGTATTTCACAGGAAATCTTGGTGCAAATAAGAATAAATCTGCACGTCTGTCTGAAAGGTCAGACGGGCAGGTTGTGGTTGTTTCAGAGAGTTTCCTGAGTGAGACAGGAGAGCGAGCTGGAGAGCGACCGGAGGGGTGAGGAAGCGAGCTGGGGCCGAACTTATAAAAGTGAGTCACCGCCTTAACTGCTCACAGGCACGCATGCACCAGTTTGCGGCTGTTTTTATTGCAGCTCGGTTGTCCCGTAAATGCCACACAAATCTCTACGCGAGCTACTTAATGGCCGAGCCTGTACGGTATAGAGTGGACCTGCATCTCGCTCCTCCACGCACTCTGCTAACGAGTGCAGTGCACGGAGTCGGGCTTACACAGGGCGAGGCCTTTTACCTAAGAGGGTCGATTCACGCAAAATACAGAAAACATATTTTCTTGTTATTCTCTTTTTCCTGAAAAGTCCTGTTTCTCTGGATGAACCACAGGCCTCACTGGGAACTGGTTTGAGTTGAACTTCTTTCTCCTGAAGAAATAGTCCCGACAAAAACTATCGACAGCTCGTTATGTGGATCATCCAGAGTAACAGATGTTAGCGCTGTGAGCACTCCAATCTAGACAGAGCTTTCTCACAGCAGACATTTTGCTTTGTCATAGTAGGAGAAGCACAGGTGTTACTAATAACACTAACGTTGGTTCCGCTCTGTTCCAGTGTTACAGTGAGAGTGACAGTGAGCTACCATGCACGATACCAAGACCCTGAAATCAGAGCAGCTAAATGGAATTCAGCCATCATTCATTTTATCATTTACACCAGTGTGCTTCCTACTGTGACAAGTCAAGATGTTGTCTGAGGAAAAGATCTCTTCGGTACTCGAAACTAGAAACTGCAAGAGATAAGCAAGACATTTTAGCTAATACGTGTAATAGCCGGTGTGAACTTACACACTAGGAGAGGGTTAAAATAAAGCTGTATATTTTGCTTGTTAGTTTTACTTTAAAATATATATTTAAAATAAAATAAATTGTTTTCAGAGACTATTATCATATTAACGCACTCCCAAAGCTCCTGTATCCAGTAAAATCGAATAGTGGTATTAATGATGAGAGGTGTAACTGAGGAACACCCTGCAGCCATGATCTCGAGCACTCGTCAAACCTTTGGACACATGGCGCCATAAACCCAAAACTGTGTTAAACTGTCAAGAATGAGCCGTGAAAAGATTTGAGAATAACCACTCGACTCTTTGAAGTAAGCGGACCCTGTGCGTCTGCAGGTTTGACATAAAACTGTCTTATCAGCAAATATAAATCCAAAGCTTTTTTCTTTTCTTTTTTTTTTTTTTTACTGTTTGGTGTTTTTTTCTTTTGTCATTATAACTTTTATGTACTCGCGTCAGTGGAGAAATTGAAGATAAAAAACAATTGGACATGAGACAGAAACTCGTGACCCGGAGTCAAACATGTGACCGTGTCTGTGTCTGCTGAGCCGTGCTGCGCCCGAGACCATCCAACACATTCGTGCTCTTTGGAAGTACGTTAAAAAATATATGAATTTGAGCACCGCCCTCGTGTGCTGTCCCTCTGCCTGCAGTTGAACAGAACCACCAACAGGTGTCATGTCTCCCCAAGTGCACAGGGAGAGTGAGTGCAGAGCTGAGGACTCCCGTGACAATGAGGCCTTTGTGCAGTTCCGGGTGCCAGCCGGTGTGCCCTCGTGTACCGTTTCCCTCTAATCTTCATTTGCCCTTTAGGCTGACGGCTTTTCTTTCCCCTTTTTCCCCGACTAATTTCCTTTGAGAAGATTATCTTCGAGCCGCACCAGAGACTTACTGATTCGGAGGACATGACACACACAACCCGCCGGAGTCGGTTCTGACCGGACGCGACACTCGCTGCCGCTGCCGTGTGCCGGGAACAATGTGAGTTGGACTGCGCTCAATAAACGAACGACAAACGGAGTTCATTTTGTTGTGTGCCTGCAGACCGCTGCAACAGGAAACCGAAGGATGCGTGCTCCCAGCGACAGTCCTGACCCAAAGGAATTTGACAGAGAATACAACAGTGTGGCGGCATGCACACACACAGCTAAGCGCGGCGTTGAGTGTGAAGTAAATATATACCTAAATCAAATAAAAATGTATTAGGAATTATTTAAAAAAAAATTGAAATCTTGAAACTCACCTTGACACTGAGGTGTGACCAGGAAAATAAAGTAGTCTGATTCCCAAATAATGAGCCTGCAAATGAAAGAAAAAACAGACACAAGACATAAATATAGTTATACTTACACACAACCACGTCGACACACACACACACAAAATACTGTGCAGATATATCCACAAAACACACACACACCAAGGTGTCCATGTAGCCCTCAGGTCATAAACCTGCCTCGCAGCTACTTGACCGTATCATTATGCTGATGTAACATGTGTTACAGTGATCACGGCTCAGGACACTGCAGACGCATTTAGAAAGGATAACCATATCACCATAGACTGGCCGCTGTTGAGAGAGCTTGAGATTCATCTCTACAAAAGTATTTGCTTCCAGCGGGAATTACATTACTGTATGTTATTAATTACATCTGTCCAGATTTTATTTAATTAGTTTAAAAAAAAAAATGATGAAATTTCAAAAATGTTGAAAAGATAAAAGGGAATAATGGAAGAATTAAAGAAACATCAAATTAAGCAACAAATAATTTTACAAACAATTTAAAATATACTATGCAATGTTACACATTATATAAATACATATTACAGGTCTCCCCCTCTCTCTTTCTCAGACACACACACACACACACACACACACACACACACACACACACACACAATACAGTTTCAAAGTGGAAGTCCTTTTAGAAAAAGTATTTGATCTATCATAAAGTGTAATTAAAACAATCAACAGAAATAGAAATATGTTGTATATATTGTAACAATAGTTTTGTTAAATAAACAGCCTAGTTTATTTGAGAAAATTATATAAAATTAAATACCTCTTTTAATCTAAAGATTACATTTGAGAAACTATGCTCTCTCTCTATAT